TGCTCACTTACCCAGAGTCTGGCCTTTTCCCCAGGGACCTGGCACAGGTCTCCACCAACTCCAGCCCTTACAAATCCTTCTTACACCTGACAGAAATATTTCAATTACTGTGGCTACACCTAATTAGTGTATATATTTTCTGTCAAGTATTATCACATAAACATGCACTACTTTAATTACCATTCAGTTTTTTCATTTGTAAATTCAGGTTATATACTGGATGCACGAATTGCCAGAAAAAGGAAACCCAACTTTTTAGACAGTGAAACTGTAAAGCTAGTTTTGCTACAGTACATAAACACAGAAGCACCCTAAATTCTACACAGAACAATGGCATAAGTAACAACTTGCAAAAAAGCAGAGCACTTGAAATAAATTGTTTTAAAGTGCATCAACAAACTTAGGAAGTACCCAACAACTTGTGGGGACCTCCACCAAAACAGTTGCTTTACAGTGATGTCATGATTCAGATATTTAAACAGCAGTCAGCAGCCGTCAAAAGCTGAGAAGATCTCCAGTGTGATAAGCAAACCAGCAAACTGCTAGGAGCAAAACTGAGCACAGCACCAAAACCACAATTACAGCTGTGGTTGATATTGCGGGTTGTTGTTGTTTTCCCACTGATACTGCGACTTTAAGAGTCTTGAGACAATATATACCCAAATATGCCCATTTTCTTACTTTTTTCTTTAGCTTGGATAAATAATTTAAGCTGCAATCACTGGATTCCACAGAGTCCACAGCAAAGACTGATTTATAAGCCTACCCTTCATAGAGCCTGATTTAAAGCCCAGCTATAACTGAAAGATTACTTATGATCAGGTGGTGTAACAGGCTTAAAGTTCAGCCTATACATAACTTATTCCTAGATTAAGATGAAAATAGCTTTAATTCAGGTGCAGATATCCTAAGTATTCTTAAGACAAACTGATTCTTACATTTTCCTCACATTTTTATGTTGAGGCTCATAAAAAAAAACGGGTGTGATAAATTCAGGTTCTTCTACAGGAGGTATATTTTTCCTCAAGGCAAGTGGAGGGTACAAAGCCTCTCAAAACCACTAGCCCAAAATTCACCTTGCTCTGTACACCTTGCCTGACATTCTGCCATGCCTGCAATAGATTTTTCATTTTGTAAGCTACCGAGGTCTTCTCAATGAGTTACAAAAAACATCACATCAGTGCAGAAGAACAGCAAATTCCTTCTCAACGTCCTTCGTGTACCTTTTCCTATATTCATTTGTTCTGCAGTAAAATCAAAGAACGGTTTGACTTCTTACTGCATAATACACCACTCTCTGCCAGGAACTCAGAAAAGTTAAGTGAGACAACGACAATCACACCATCCTGAAGATCTCTCCCCTACACTCCTTTATCAAAACGCTTCATTATTCTTTTAGTGTGCAAATAAGAAAGGAATTCCTCACCAGCAAGCTGTGTGATAAATCATTAATTGTTGTTAAAAAGTGATTCATTTATGCATGAATTTGGGCAAGTCCACTAGCAAAAAAAGATGCTTAAAATGACAAGCATAGGTTTATCAAGGTCTGCTTCGGACTTCGGTTCTCCAGGAAACATGTACAATTTCTCTTTTTCTCTCCTCATTTAGAACCTTTTAAACAATGCTAAATAGGGGATGATTAATGCAACTCGATTGACCCTTCATTGATGTGCTGAGTATTGCTTCTTAGCCTGGGTGTGAAAATTGGTAACAGCTGTAAACTAGAATACATTAGGATTGATTTGGTTTCCTTCTGCCTCGGGAACCAATCAATGTCTTTTTGTTATCAAGAATAAAAAGGGTGCCATGACATGCAACTACTCTATTATTCACTAGCATGTTGCTTATTCCACCATTAGGATGAAATTCGTACCTCGCTCTATAGAACTGTAATGGAATGCCTACTACAGCCTATCGAACAATTTGGCCTAGAGCGAGTAAAAAGGCCCTTTTCAATGTAGTATTATAGATGTACTCTAATGGCCTGAGCTGATTCACACTTGAAATCACTCTTCTATTTTTCCAGTATAAAACTGTTTGAGGGTCATTTGAAAATCAAGCAACAGAAGTTGCTCCAGGCAGAAGTTAGTTATCATTAACAGAAGCCATATTCTTTTTAAAAGTGCACCTTACTCAATGGAATGAACAGTTTCAGCTCGGTCAGTCCATAGTTTGTTAGCCAGAGTAAAAAAAGCCATATCAGATGATACACTTCACTGCCAATGTAAACTTCAACAGCAACCTACGGAAAGTACTGCACACATACGGGCAGTTTGACTACCAAACCTGCAACTTCTCAAGAAATAAACCTTGAAACCCAGGGCAAAATGACAACAATACAATTCTTTCAGGTAGTTAGCTGAGTCAGCAGGCATGCTGTAGGCTGCAAAGGAAGGTTAAGGTTTATTCCATGCTGAAAGGGAAAAAAAAAGAGAACGTTTTGGCCACCTGAAGACGCCCCACAGCTGAAACATTGCATTTCTTTTCTTTTCCTTTCAGCATGAAATAAACCTTTAACAATACAATTAACTGAATGCAAAGGAAACTCCACCAACTAAAGGGCCATTCCTATATATTATAGTGATGATACAGTTGTACGGAAATTGTGAACTACAAGGACTGCCCCAAGATCCCCCCCCCCCAATGTCCAGCTACTGGCTAAGAATTAAATTTGCTTGAGAGAGAAATAATCACTCTTTAGTTTAAAGGAACTAGCCTTAACAAAATCATGACGAATGTCAAGTTGATTTGTACCTACGTTACAACACAATTGCTCCCAGACTTTACTACAATACATATTAAACTGTACATATAACGTTGAGGAACAAAATTGTCATGTCAGACACAAACAGCATACAAACACCATCATTGATTTTTGAGGGAATCATTTTCAGTCTACACAAATGATGGAAAAGGTTTTCTTATGGCACTAGCCAATGCAATTACTACGCCAGAAAACCCCATTTCTGAACTAGAAAAGCACATTGGTATGGGAGATGGGAACAGTCATTACCTCCCAGGAAAAACAGATGGTGGGTTTTATGAAAAATGCCCTGCAGTTCATTTTTCTTTTAAAAATGAAGCTGTGAGGTGAGAGTTCTATTTTCCACCACAGAAATCAGGATGATCACCAGCATTTATAAGAAGCTGAGCTTTATTAATATTAATAAACAATGTTTAAATTAATGCAAAACCTTCTCTTTACTAGAATACACCCAGTAACCAGAGATACAAGGGCACACAGTTGCCTCAACAGTGCCCAGTGGTTCACCATGCAGAAAGTACATTTGGAAGTACAGAGAAAGGCCTGAGCACAGCACAAGTCTCCAAGCTTAAAATGTAATACTTGTCCATCACATTCAAAAATGAACTAGTCAATCAGGATAGTGCTTCCTTTCTGTGCATTCTATGCATAAAAAAGCTGTACAGAAAAGCTATTTATACAAATGTTGATACAGAAGAGGTGCTGCCAGAAACAAAAAAAGAAAACCGGCAATCCTGTAATTTTAGGTAGTAAATGAAAGCTTTACATTAATGTATTAATTTAAGCACTATATAGATTTTCAGAGACAGTCCTCAGACTCTAGTACATGCCACCAGCAAATAAAGACTGTAACACTGTCCTGTCAAGCAACAAAAGCCTTATTCTATAGTGTGTTTGTAATGTAAGAGCGCACTGCTGTAACACTTACACTGACGCAGGTTTTGTCAGGGTTTTCTGGGGGTGTTGCAAATGAAGAAAAGCTAAGAGCAGAGTGGGTGTCATGCACAGCACTGCAAGTCATTACACAATACAGCGTGCGGCAGCTTTATGTTTCGCAGACAGACCTGCCTGAAGAAGCCAACAGAGGAGAAGATTGTGACTTAAGCATCGGGAGGTGTCCGTTTCTAGGGTTTTGTGGCAGCAACCATTTGGTTTATATCAGTAGCAAAAAAAGAAGAAATCTTAATTATGGTGACAACATCTTGCTAGGGATCCCAAGAATTTTTGAAACATCAAACCTACAAAACCCTTTGATAAGCTTAATGACTTGAGGTTAATATGGCTGAGATTAATTACTACAACTATGTTCTGAACTGCAGAAACTGCTTGTAACATTTATTTCCATTGCTTTATCCCGTAAGCAATTAGGAATATTTGACAAGAGACTTGGAGCTTACATAGATCATTAAACTCGAAAAATAAAAATGAGCAAAACGAGCTCCTCTCTTCTGCAAGGTGTAGTACACACTTGTCCTCTTTCAAACAGCTGTTAAAAGAAGATATTTAAAGCAGTGATCTATTTTCCACAGCTATGTGCAAGAATTAGAACCAAGACCGTTCACCACAGATAGGCGAGTTGTGACCTTGCACTACTCAGTGACATAACACTACATCAGATTTCAGAACACAGGCAAAACACCCCTGTACGGTGCACAGCAAGTACATCAGAATGTACCATGTCAGGCAGCCACTATGTTGTCTAATCAGTTGCTTACTGTACATCAGACAGGAGGTGCATCTAAGACACTGAGCGTCCTAGGATTAAAAATGACATTTACAGCAAAAACAATTTCACAACAATCAATGCAACAGTCACACTTTACCATGTTTATTCCTTTTCGGAATTACACAACATTTTGTGAGGACTTTTGTCCTCATGAAAACCCCAGGATAGGAACACATGCCCCTTTTTTAACATCACTCAATAACCTTTCAAGGCATCATCAAATATGCACTGCTTCTTTCATTTAACATGTGCACTTCTGATTTTTAATCCCTCTCAATTTTCCTCAGCACTCTGGGGATTGTGTCCTTTTCATTTGCATGCTCTGACAAGCAGTACTAAAGGTAAAACCATCCACACTTTATAATCCCTTTTCTTCAAGTGCTAAAAGATTTAATGCTCTAGTAATATACACCTGATCTATTGGACTGTTTACAGCTGTGTAATTTGCGTATCATTACATTAAGGCTACAAGACAGACCCATGCGAGTAAAAAAAAAACTATTTACTTACCTTATGTCTGCACTTAAGTACCACTCCATAGGCTCCTAGAAAATAAGAATAAGGGTATTTTTTACATTATAAGACACAAGCACCACAGACACAGCACATTACTACAACAGAAACAACGAGTATCTTCCTTCTTCGTATGGTGTATGGCTTTCAAAAAAAGAGGCAAGCTTGAAGAACTAGTTACAAATTATATAAATATTTGCCAGCAGGCAGTGAAATTACATCTAAAATAAAAATAAAATTGCATTTTTTGATTCATTTCAGGTTTTCATCATAAAACAAAAGGTTTGTGCAGGTCTCTAAGATTTCATTTAAAACAACAAAAATAAACATAAAACGAAGGGAGCCTGGAATTGCTTGGGACTTTAAAAAAAAAACTCCACAATGCATCACGGTCCCATCCTTCACACTTCATACCTGCAGACATCTCTACAGCTTCAATAGGGAGTATTTTTAGAAGTTTCTCTGGGCAGTAACTGCAGTAGGCATGGCACTCCTCCATAGCTGAAATGCCAAAGCTGTCTGGCTCTATATCATGCTTCCCTTCAGTGACCATACAGCTCCAGTTTCAAAGGCTTTATAAAAATTGGGACATGTTTGGAAGTGTGTATATCTACACAGAGAGATGATCAGATGAACTGTAGCAAAAGCTCACAATTTAAATGTGAAAGAAAATCCAAGATATCTAGTTAAGGCTAGTCTAAAAGCACACAGCTTTAACGTGAATGAACCAATGTCAGCTATATGTAATAGCATAATATTATTTTGATAGATAAGGTGGATTGTGATGTTTTGAAGATATCTTGGGATACAAAGATAATTAAATGAGATCACATGTAAGCCAAAGCTATGAAGTAACTTACTGAAAACACCTTGCCCTTGAGCGCATTCTTCACTCAGTTAAAAAAAAAGAAATCTGTTCTCCCTGGTCACAGGGAATTGATAAAATACAGTGTCTCCAATATAGTAAACATTCTATTGCTCATATTACCAGGAATGCAGCAAATCTATTCCATTGCTTCTTCTCTAAATGGGATATGTGTTATGAAGCAAACAGCCAACTGCAGTGCAGAATAACGGCTCCTAGAAAAACCACTGGGCTCAGCAGCATAATAAAACCATCTCGGAACAAGAAACACACAGTTTAGACTTCTGCACTCACACCAAGCTTTTTGGTTGACTGAATTTCCATACTTTACCCAGTTCACCACAACGGTCCAGCATTTTAATAAACTGCCACTTAACAGAAAAAGAGCACAGTTTAAAAACTGCTTTCTGAACTCACAGCTCTAAGCTAAACATGGAGGCAATGTGAATCTGTCAAAACCTGTGCTGTATATACACCTTGTGAACTGATGACGGACAAAGTGAAAGAATGCTGGTCAAGTAGAAGAATAACAGTCCCAGAATATCTGTGATGACTTGATCGCAATTTTAGGGATAAAAGATATTATCTTGTTCCACGTATTTTGCAGATATCTTTATATCTGCAGATATTTCCAGTATCATTGTCACAATGAATTATGCAGATCATTTATATTTCAAAGCATTCCACATTATGCAAACAAAGATAAAGCTAGAGATGCATACCACATAGAACAGACTCTCAGTTCCCTGGCAATTATCTTAATTAAGAAAGTGGATAATCCAAGGCGATCCTTTTGAAAAATCGCTTTAAAGATTAAAACTCTAAATAAACAGCTAGAAGACATAATAAATTAAGACTGAATTAAAGCACTTCACAAACACCTGTTCTTGACAGCAAAAAAAAGCCAAGGTAGTGTCACATTCCTGATCATTTAATCACGCTTTATATTCAACACGAAAGTCAGAAAGAAACACTCATTTGTTTTTAGTATATCCAGAACAGTTTCAATCAAAAACACACAGAAAGAAAAACAAAACAATGGGAGTCTGTTTGTAATTTCAATCACCTTGAAAAAGAAAAAAAAAACTTTACATTTATATTTCTCTATTCTTGTTTCCCCTTGTGAAAAAACTCCACAACACCCGAAGTAGCCATTCACCAGAGAGTTTTCTACTTTGCCACGGAGTACAATTCCCTCAAATTTCCATTACCATCCATCTGACATTTGAACTCTACACTAAATAGCTTCAGCTAAAAAAAACTTTTGAGTTAAACAGGTATACCTTAGCAGAACCTAATTCTATTGTCTTATTCACTCCCAGAGAGTGGGAAACAGAGGGCTTGTTTCTTAATTCAGTACTTTGTTCTGGTTCATTCAGTGCCAGACAGAAAAGTAAATCCAAACACTTTAGCTCCATAAGCTTTCGCTGGTTCCTGTACAACATCAGAAGTTCTCAATTTTCTGTTTCTGCTTGAGCACTCCTAGCATAAAATTTATTTCTTTAGAAGACGTTAAATTAAGCAATATAGCAAGAGATGTCCTTCTAATTACGTTCAAAATCACTGTATCTAAATCTAAAAGATTACCCAAGATTCTATTGTAGCATTTTGTGACTGCTGAATTCCATTGGCCAATAATATAGTTAACACATTGCAGGGGTAGTCGGCTACGGAGCTTCCAAATCCATTCCAGTGCAGTTCCCGATCTAAAAAACTGGGCGATTACACAATTGCATTAAGAATTATTTCATCCAAAAACCAATTAAAGAACCAGATATAGGAAAATCCTGTATTCAATAATCACAGTCCAATCAATCAAGCAGAGCAACAAAACTTGCAGCCAAAATCCATTCATGATTCCTGTAGTTTTAATTTGTCAAATTCACAATTTCTGGAAATTGCACGCAGACTTTCAGAAAATGCCTGAACTCAATTCTGTAGAAAAAGTATCTAAGAAAACAGTGACAATACAGCTAGTATGACTGCCTCAAAGCCCTCAGGTTCTGGGACTGACTTTGCACCAGGGCGCTTTGCTTGTGAGAAGTGTGCTTATTCATTGTTTTTCTTTGAGCGCTTCTTGTTAGTTAGGTTAACTGGCATTGCTAAATTGTTCTCCTGCATGTGCTTGCTCTTTGACAGACTGGTGTCTCAGTGGGCAGGTGTTTCTGGGTGACTGTGACCCTAACCAGCAGTAATCTGCTTTCTGATAACAGATGGAAATACACCAATAACTGTATTAGTCATCAATGGTCACAAACTTTACCTACAACTGTTAATCTCAAACACACTTTTGCTTCCTCCTCTCTTTATCACATCACTGACCAGGATAAATATTTCACCTAAGCTCTGTTAATTAATTACAAACATACTTCACACCAGGTGTTGTGAACAGATTGTCTATTGCATCACTCTTTCCTGCTGCCTTCCAGGGCAGAAGGTGAGCAGCTGATTGTCCTTAACTGGTATAACTCATTTATTGCAATGAATGACAGCAATCACGAAAATTCAACTTGGTACCAAAAAGGCTGGTCTGCCAAAGAATTACAAAGGCGGTCTTCAAGCATCGTAAGCACACTGGATTTTTCAGTGTGCTGCTCTATAAAAATTCAAGTCTCATTTCTTCTTAAATCGCATTAGTGGTAGGACACTTAGAGCATCCAGTCCATTATCTCCAGTAAAAAACTCCAATTACATTTGCCAGAAGGGTGGCCTTACAGCCCCAGGGTTAATACGACTTTGGTTCTTTCAATTAGTTAAGGAGAATGTTTTAGAAGTACTGAAATTTTCCAGTTAAAATACTTTATCTACACTGTTATGTTACTCTTTCCAAATGTGTGCTTTAGAATTGTTGTGATCAAAATTACAAAAATTAAATCCCAACAGAGTATTATATGTGTATAACTAATTCTATAATCTTTTATTGTAGACCACAAGACAATTTCTTTCTTCGACTGCACACAGACAGTTGTTTGCTTGTTTTTCATATCTAGAAGAATTTTAGCATACAGTATGATTTTGGTCTGATTGATTTTGATATGATTTGTCTGACAAATATTGAATGCTTACAGCAAGTACTCTTAATATAAAAAAAATACCAGATTTCACTAATTATTATGATATAATATCTAGTTCCTCAAACTACTTACCTGAACAAGCATTATAATGTACCTTTTAATTAATCTAATAATACAGTGAGATATTCATCTTATATCTGTGAGAGCATTTCCCAATCTCTGTGCCATCACATTAGTAATTTAGCATGAACTGTCAAATATGTGGTAATGAACTACATGCCAACCCAGAAGAAAACACCAGAATAAATTTAACTGAACCCGAGTTCTTCATTTCTCCTGGCTAGAAAGCTTGCCAGTTTTGTGCAGCTTCAATTTTTTCCTCTTACTCCATTAATCCAATAATATTAATTATCCACTTTATTAAGTGCCATACTAGAATTGGCATGTATTTTATACAGAAATCTCCACAACTAGCTCTGAAATCCAGAGACAGAAGGAAGGAAGGGGAGAACATGATCCTGTTCATTTCCAACCTGCTTTTTTGACAAACGAGCAGATCGAGAGGCTCAATAACATGGCTGCCTGCAGTAAATAAAATGTGCCGCACTTTTGGAGAGAGAAAACCGGTTTGTGAACTTTGCTCTCATTTTCCTCCCCATACTCTGTTTTTCGGAGGGGAAAAGCTTTTTCCTGTTTACCACGGGAAAAAGCAGCGTTTCACTGAACCTATTAATAATTTCCTTAGCAGATGGGCAGACATGCTGGCTAATTAGTCAGAGTTGAGGGATGGATTCCAGGACAGCCCTGTGAGATACAAGTGAAAGGGAAATGAGGACTAGATACCAGTACTGGCATGGAACCAAGCATGGGATTCTGAATTATCCTGATCTAGGAACACACTCTTACCAACAAGGTGAAAGGGACAGGAGCAACCAGGGGTTACATTTGTCAATTCCATGTGAAGAAATATCTGCATTTATCACGTAGGTAACTGCATGATAAACATGTATAGTACAGCACGAATACTTTTAAAAACACATTAACAAATGCATAAAGAGAGAATGAGACTAAAAATTAAAAAAAAAAGCTGAGAAAGATGAAATGGGACTAGTGGTCTGAAATTAAAACTATAACGTGCGAAGTGCGAAGATTTTTTCATGCTGCAGCAGTATAAGGAATCATAGAAAAAGAACAGCCTGGTAGCTGGTTCTCATTTCTCCCGGTGCCAAAGCAGGACGTCATTATTAACCCTACAGAAAGCACTACAATGTATTTTACCCAGCTATTGGACTACTCATATAATGAAAATATTTTCTCCATGTGTATACATAGAGAGTGGTACCAAATTCTAGACTCCATAGAACTCTATTCTTCAGATAATAAGCAACAAAGAGCTGGAGTGTTACTGGCAGAAACATTTAAACATGCTGGTATGTGTATATTAGATGCCTTTTGTGGAAGCACTAAGCAAACTCACGCATAAACAGACTACCTGGGGCACAGAGAGAAAAATGATTTTCAGCATATCCTCAAAAACTCTATATGAGCCCACTGGCATCTTTCTCGGGCCTTTTCAAGACCGTGAAATCTGCTGGACTGAAAAACGTTTCATGTTGTGTTATGTACTGTGACAGCAGGGTTCTGTTGTTTCAGAGCCCTCTGTATTGCTTCGTTTTCTTTTTGCCACATAAAACTGCAGCCGGGTAATTAATGATGTCCGGACTAACGCTTTCCTGAAGTCGAATAAAAGTGTGTTTCCACTGTGTATTTGGGAAAAACAATTTTACAATTTTGTACAATTTTACATTTTTTGTTGCGCAGAGAGCCATTTATATATATTTTTTCTTACAACCGTTTTCAAATCAAAATCTCCCAAGACAAACTAAATTTTCTTGTAAAACTGTGTATATTATTTTATTATATGTTTTAGATCTACCAAAACCAAGTTTCAAAAGTGGGAAAAGTTAAAACGAAGAAAAGGTTCATTTCAATCCTATTACGTACAAATGTGGAAAAGGACTGCATACAGCATTCTATTCATTTAAAATTCTGTTTTATTTACATTGGCTTACCATTTAACTATTAATTTCTTTAATAGGCTTTCTCCAGCAAGCAGGTGAAATGATAACATGGTGTTCTGGCATCAATTATGAAATATTGGCCTTGGATGATTCACAGGTCTCAGAATCATGACAAACAAGTCAGAACCCAGAATCCAGGGCTCAGCCAGTAAGTTATGAATAAGAATTGTTCAGAAAAAGAACAGATTTAGATTTCTTTTGACAGCACATCAATGATTTACAAGTAGAAAAAAAAAATCTTACCTTCACCTACAATCCCAAGGACCTCAAATTTATTCATCACATTACCAATGTCAGGAATCTTCATGAAGACAAATTCCACCAGAGGTAAGGCCCGGGATGTGCAGCTCAGCGAGGGGCGTTAGCAGACGGCATGGGGCAGCCAGGACTGAGGTCCCGAGCAACAGCAAATCCCTCGAGCCCACGGCACACTCCACATGCTCACTCTGCCTAACACAGCAGCTCAGCAAATCCCTGCAAAAGCAAAACACGGAGGCATATAAGAGCCTGGTTCTGTACACTCCAAAACAAGCCCTCTCCGAGAAATGGAGAGGGGACGAGACATGGTTAAATTTTCCATGACGGTCATGACGCCCCAAGGCAAAAAACATTCTAAGGACTAGAACATGGCCCCTTGTTCTCCAGGTTTGGATTTTTCCCTAATAATATTAGCTGCGTTGACCAAGTAGCTGCGAGAAGAAATGGGTTGGGTCTCTGTCAGCTTTTGCCACTTCCAGGCTCTGAATGAGCCTTCTTTAGTGGCCCGATGTCACTAAGAGAAGAGGGGAACCCACGGCGGATATTAACAACCCCCGCTGCTGAGCTGCTGTAGCATTATCAGGAAAGACCTGCTGCCTGTGTCCCTGGATGACAGGGAGATAAAGCTCTGGAATGAATGGGTCTTAAAGAAACAGGTATTTCGTCTTAGAAACGTTTACATATGGAATTGAAGAAAATTTTAAAAAATGAAGACTTTCCCAGAATTACTTTTCTACATCCTCAAAAAACAATGTATTCGGCAAAAGTCAAGAAATGTAGACATTCCAGCAGTAGTCTTTGAAAAATGTTACCTTCTTATATTATGACAAAGGTACTGTGTTTTTTAAAGCGCGTTCCTTCCACAAACTACATGTCTGAGAGCTTGAAAACCTGCCACCCAAAGTTTGCAATCATTCATCAGACACTAAACTCGCATCCAACATTAAAAGCCGAGAAAAAGAAATGAAGTACTAAGGAGCTAGACTGCTGTGTACTTTGGAAGTAGGACTTATGGCTGCATGACTATGCACATTCCATTTAGTCACTAGAATAGAGACACAACATTCATTTTCATTCTATGGCACTCTTCATCCCCCCATGGATCCTAAAGGGCTTCAGATATAAGAGGCGCACTGAAGTGTAGCACCCATTTGGGTGATATGCAGCAGCTCTAGACAGAACAGATTTGAGTGAAAACGTTAAGAAAGCCAGATTGTCCTATTCTATAGTGGAATGTGGCAAGAACATCAGGGATAACACTCTGCTCTTATGAGTACTGCAATGGGATCTATAATGACCAAGCAGTTAGGACCCTTTAATATCATCTGGAAGGACAGCATCACCTACAGGTACAGTAAGTGCTCCTTGTGCACCATACTGGGACATCTGTTGGAAAAAATGTCATCTGCTGGTTCACCAAGACAAAGTACAGAAAAGGCACAGATCTGCTTAGTTTTTGAGATCTGAAAATATCCAAGGTGGTAACGCTGCCATCAAGATAGCGAACAATAAAGTACACTGAATCTAAATGGCAGGAAAAAGGCATGACCACAGTGGCACAAATTAGTATTAGATTTCATCTAACAAATCACTGCTACTAAGCAAAGAGGGGATTTACATCATGCTGCGTTTCAGAGCAGGAACGAACAGCTGTTCAAGATTAATTGGAATCTTATTAAATGCTACGATTACATTTATTCGGTTTCTTTCTTCCTCAGTAAGGAAGATATGTAGTGGCTGAATGAATGAAACCCCTAAGAGGCAGAACAATTCCAATGCAGAAGGCAAACACGAAGAAACACTGGAGATCAAATCGGGGAGGAAAATCAACTACGAAAGCATGCAGAACCCTCACTGCAGAGCAACCAAAGCTCAAATCAATGTCAAACGTTCCGCCAGCCCTTATTTTAGTCATCCGTCTGCTCTGACTCAGCTGCCAGGTGAGACTGCCCATTTAATTGAAAACTCCAGGAGTCTCACTACAAAAGCTCTGGATTTGTCAATCCCTTGTCGTGACCTTCGCTGCTTGATACAAAGATAGAGAAAGGAAGCTGAGGGCACCGATGACTCCTCCAGTGTCAGGAAACTGCCAGCACTGGGGAGAGGAACCTAGAGACTGAGACTGAGCCTTGCTTTGTCCTCCTATTGAAGCTTTTCTGTCAGGGAGTGACTGGAATGATGGTGTTGCAGTATGGGTGCAAATTAAAAAAAACAAAAACCTTTAACTGTAATACTTTACGGTTCCAACTAAAATTGTAACTAGTGCGGTAAAGAATCAGAACCACTGGAGGTGACGGCTGAGGTTCGAGTTTGAATTTTCAGTTACTCCCAGCTTCACTAAACAGGCTAAATTTGAAAAATACACTACATTTAATTAGACCAGGAATATTGGAATACCTCTTAAAACTGGCAAACTAATAACTCAAATTTACCTTCTTTAAAATTTTCTCTTCTTTTGGTTAGAAAAAGAGAAAGGCCCTTGCTTGTGAAAAACTCAAACTACAAAAAAGGAGTATTAATAATTTGATTCTTCATCATGCATTAAGAGAATTGTAATATTTTTTGGTTCTATCCTTACACAGGGTAGAATAAATTCTTATTTGTTGCTCTATTTTAGATGGAAACTGTAAACATGTAATAAAAAGAACAGACAATCTAGCAATGCCATGGTAGCAATGCAGGTTAACAACAGGTTGAGTCCTGCTTCATTTATGAAACAATAATTCGTAACAAATAACTAATTAATAACTATACTAAAAAAAGTCATAAGTCATACATTCCCCACAGGATTCATCAAAGATGTAGGCTACCCATGATGTTGGCTGAGGAAGAGCTTTGCTATTTTCAGTTTACTGTATGCATCAATCCTTCATTGTCTTCTTTTTGCTTTTGAGGCGGTGTTTATTATTTTGTGATCTTTGAGTCTTTTTTAACTTTGAACATTAAGTAGCTTCCACTCTTTAGAATTATTCTTCGATTATTAACCTTTATTATTCTCCATAATCAACAGATTATGAGGCTGATCTAAGGGATATCGGAGCTACAAAGTTGCTTTTTTAAGAGACCTACACTCTCTACAAGATGGAGGTTTAGAAAACGTTTCTCATGCAATGTTTACAAGCAGCAAATGGACACAGAATTGTTTCCATATTGTGACCCACTGAGTCAGGTGCGAGGAAATTCTGCATTTTTCTGTCAACTACTAAAATAGCTTAAGGAAAGATCCAAAATCCAAATGCACAAGACATTCCATAGAAAATTGTGATTGTGTTCAATTTTTGTCAGCGTTAACACATTTGTATGGCCTGTATTTAAACCGTAGGAAGCCCTGCACGTACAGTATACAAGACCGATATTCCCAGAAAATGTTTGCATGCCGCGAAAAAATTGAGCTAATCCCGACTACAAAGCAGAGCACAAAAACTTGACTATTCTTTTTTTCCTTATAGCTGTCTGTGCTTTAGCTAGTCAAATACTTATCTCTTCAAGTTGAAAGGATGTTTCATGAGCAGCTTTGCATGAATTCTGATGTCCCTGAAGAAAAGCTTATTTCTGTCATTTCACCCAGGATCCCTCATTGCTACAGGTATATTTCCCATGAGGAGCGTTCTGTATGATTTCTAGTTAATTTCTTATTTGTCCAACAATTTGCAGGGAGTATGAACTTTGTTCACATACCAGAGTGTAACGCTGTCATCCCTAACCTCCTGTTACCATTGCATGAAACTTGAAGGCCAGACTATTTACCCTTCAAAAATCTAGATATATTTCAATGAACAATAATTTAAGAAAAAAAGAGAAGGCCTTAAGATAAGTGCCCTTTTCACTTTTTTGACTGTCAAATGGTGTGCTTCCAGGCTTATTTGCTATTTTTCTGATTGCATCACATTAAACAGGTTTACAATTTTCACTTTGATCCAAGGGGCTTCTATTAATCAGTTACGGAGGTTGATCTATCTGAGCTATAAAGTTGCTCTTTTGAGAGACCTACACTCCCAACAAGAATGAGTTAGTTCCACGGATTCAAAACTGACTTCAGATTAACCAGTGTAAGGGGTGATATGACAGCTGTGTAATTAGGACCTGCAAAGCTCGCAATTTATTTTAAATGATTGAAAAAGATGCGTTTCATTCGAAACCCTCCAATTTTCTGGTGACACCAATGAAAACTAAAGATTAAACGATCAACACATCGTCTGGTTACTTATGAAAACATCCTTAATATTAGCACACTGACAGTATATCGCAGATAAATTGCAAGACAAAATGTAATTTCCACAGCGAAAACTTTCATCAGTTTTGTCAATATACCGCATGTGAATATGTTTGCAGTGTTTGCTAAGGACATAAACTAGTTTAATTCCCCCCTCCCAGCAGAGACTGAGGTATAATGTCTTTTAAAAATTGTCCTGTCGGCGACTTTCTCTTCGCCCTTCAAAGAACATGCACAACAGGTTCAGCAGTTGGACGACATGTTTACTGCCTCACCACCTTGAGAGATCTGAGAAACGGCGAGCAAACACAAAACAACCACCTTCACCTACAGAGGCAACCGCCACCCGTCTGAGATTGTGTAGAACTCAAACCGTAACCTGTAGCTATGAAAATAAACAATTAGAAAAGTTAAAAACAAAAAAAAATAATGATGATTCTTTAACTCTTCTTTGACAACATGAACCTTAACCAAAGCCAGACTTGCAAAAACAAGAGGTCTATACAGTATATTGCTGGGGTTTCTGTACAGAGCCAAGAGCAGCCAAGCACTTGTATTTAAATGCACGTGAAAGGAGCACAACGTCTCCGAGAGCGACACTTTTCCCCAAAGAAGGCTCCACAGCCGAAACAATATGCGTTTCGTTTCTTCTCTAAATAAACCTTTACTTGTTGCTTTGCAGCCTGCGCATGACGACGCAGCTACCTACTTGAACAACTTTAATATGGTACCATTAGTTTGGACAATCCCAATTCTGGTGATAAAATGGCAGGGAGTACAGCCTTGCCTTCAAATAGACAGTGACACCAAGGGCAGAGGATGTTCACGGCAACTGTTTCTGCTGTACCGCTGTCCATAACCCGAGGAAAAAGCTGTGCGGAAACAAAGCAGCTGCTTGTCTTGAAGTCATGGCATGTCTGTTTTGCCAAATAGAGGAGCAAGTCTTGCAAAACAACCTCTTTTATCTGAATTTGTCAGAGCACCAAAATTTAAGAGAAAATGC